AATACCATCCTATTTTGGCAACATGACTCAGTTGCAAAAGCTCCATTTGAATAACAATAGTTTCCACGGAAAGATCCCTCAGAGTCTTGGACGTTGTCAATACTTGCTAGACCTATGGATTGATACAAATAGGTTGAGTGGGACTATACCTCAGGAAATACTGCAAATTCCATCCCTCGGTTACATAGATTTGTCAGACAATTTGTTGACCGGCCATTTTCCGGAAGAGGTTGGAAAATTAGAACTTCTTGTTGGACTAGGTGCTTCGAACAACAGATTATCAGGACAGATCCCACAAGCTATAGGGGGTTGTCTCTCAATGGAATTTCTCTATATGCAAGGAAATTCGTTTGAGGGAGCCATTCCAGATATAAGACGGTTGGTAAGCCTAAAAAAAGTTGACCTCTCCAACAACAAACTCTCTGGCCACATACCTCGATATCTGGCCAATTTTCCTTTGCTGCGAAATCTAAATCTTTCTATGAACAAGTTCGAGGGAACGTTGCCAACAACAGGAGTGTTTCGAAATGCTACAGCATTTTCTGTTTTTGGAAACAAGAATCTATGCGGAGGCATCATAGAAATGCAACTAAAGCCCTGCATTTTACAAGCATCACCAAGGAAGAGAAAGCCTCTCTCACGTAGAAAGAAAGTTGCCAGTGGTATTGGTATAGGGATAGCTTCACTTTTGCTATGCATTATTGTGGCTTCTCTGTGTTGGCTCATGAAGAGGAGAAAGAAGAACAATGCCAGCGATAGTAACCAACTTGATTCTACTACTTTGGGGATGTTCCATGAGAAGGTAAGTTATAAAGAGCTTCATAGTGCTACAAGTGGCTTCTCTTCTACCAATCTGATTGGTTCAGGCAATTTTGGTGATGTTTTTAAAGGATTGCTTGGCCTTGAGAATAACCTCGTCGCTGTCAAAGTTCTGAACCTCCTGAAGCATGGGGCAACTAAAAGCTTTATGGCCGAATGTGAGACCTTCAAGAGTATACGGCATCGTAACCTTGTAAGACTGATAACAGTTTGTTCAAGCCTCGATTCCAAGGGAAATGAATTCAGAGCTCTGGTCTATGAGTTCATGCCAAAAGGAAGTCTGGATATGTGGCTGCACCCAGAAGATGTGGAAAGGGGAGACGGTCACTCTAGATCCCTAAAACATGCAGAGAAACTCAACATAGCAATAGATGTGGCTTCCGCTTTGGAGTATCTGCACGTTCATTGTCATGACCCTGTAGTTCACTGTGATGTTAAGCCAAGCAACATTCTTCTAGACGATGATCTGACTGCTCATGTTAGTGACTTTGGTTTGGTTCGGCTCTTGTATAAATTCGATCGAGAATCCTTTCTAAACAAGTTTAGTTCTGCCGGTCTCAGAGGCACCATTGGCTATGCCGCACCAGGTTAATAGACATCTATCTGCAGAAAGTATTGTTTAACTGTGAATTATTTCACCTCATTGTCTGTTGTTTCTGGGAAACATGTGCAGAATATGGAATGGGAGGCCAACCATCAATACACGGAGATGTGTACAGTTTTGGAATTCTACTTTTGGAGATGTTTACTGGAAAGAAACCAACAGATGAAGCATTTGCTGGCGATTATAACCTCCACAGCTACACGAAGTCAGTATTGTCGGGTAGCACAAGCAGTGGAGGCAGCAACACCATTGATGAATGGTTGAAACTGGTTTTGCAATTGGGAATAAGGTGTTCTGAAGAATATCAAAGGGATAGGATGCAAATGGCTGAAGCAGTACGAGAATTATTCTCAATCAGATCTAAGTTCTTCAGTTCTGAGATGACTACCGCCAAGCAGAGTCCTCAGAATGTTCTGCATAGTTATCCCCAGGAATTAATATTAAATGCTGATATGCATACAATCTAGACGAAAATGAAGACATCACAACCACCTTCATAGCTAGTTATGGTGAAACAGTGAATGTGTATCTTCTTCTGCATCATCGAAACAGAAAGGTTATGCGATTGCAAGAATCTTAAGCTATTTTATCATATTAATAAAGAACATTTAAAATATATATCTCTTGAAGCTTTTATAACCATTGTCACTACTTGCTCTTTTCTTTCTTTGTCAACAGACAACAATGTCTTCTTCATTAGTGGATATTTGTTTCCTCTTTAAGAAAGATCTTTCTGCATACACATATGCTTCCTTCGTGTTTGGTCTTGAGCACACTGCTACACTGTCGTTTACTCTGTTTTCATGAGTTTCTTGAATTACCAAACTTCTCTCTGTTTGCATAGGGACAAAGTCAAATCTTGATTGCTGACAATCCTTGACTTATAACTCTTCTAATGCGATTAACTTCAAAGATTTTAGTGAATAAACGCCTTCTGATTAAAATGTATCTTGCAATGATTAGTTTGAATGTCAGATACAGATTCGTCGCTAATTATCACAATTTTTAGGGAGTAGAGAAGAGTGGACAATTTGATCAAAGAAAGTCGCATAACAAACACTTGAAAAACTACAAGCTGTTTTGCTTAGTTTTTTCTTGGTGCGAAGAACTACTTGCCGTTTTAGTAAAAAATAACCAACACGCTTCACACTGACGCGCAAACTCACTCATCAAATTTCTCTTCACCAGCTCAAAGGAATTTGAGCTCACTATTGCAGAAATCGATGGCTTTCCTCAAATTAGCGACTTTATCGACACAGTCGCCGTCGCCGTGAGACCAAACCGATACAAGAAACTCATAATCGTTAAGTAAAAAATCCTCTTTTTGTTTTTTTATAAGTCTTTCGTAGAAGTATTTGTTTCAGGGTTTTTAAATAGAGAGTTTCTATCAGATGTCTTTGAATTAACTTCGAAAAAATCCAAACTTTTGAAGGATGTTTCGGAAGAAGATTGACACAAGACTTTTTACCAGGTTGTATATATCGGCCAATAAGTTTTTTTTTTGTCCAAATGCTTTGGCTTTACTCTGTTTACACACACACACCTTGTTTGACTGCTGAAAAATAGAAAGTAAACTATCTCAAAAGTCCACACGCTTTTTGTTTATTGTAACTATTTTCAATGAGTTTTGGACCGTATATGATATCCCCACGACAGCAATGGAATCGTATTTTGTATTTTTCTTCTTCTTACCTTAAAAACTTCCTCTCATTTTCTGGTTTTAAGTTAAAAAGCATAAACCTTTGTATAAGGGTGATGAAGCTGTCTCTTTCACTTGCTTGCAATGCTACTATCTTGTTGCTTCAAGTTTGCTGCGTGTTCTTTGCAGAAGCCAGGTTTTCAAATGAGACTGACATGAAAGCTTTGCTTGAGTTCAAGTCTCAAGTTTCTGAAAACAAGAGAGAGCTCTTGGACTCATGGAACCACTCATCCCCGTTTTGCAATTGGATTGGGGTCACATGTGGCCACAGGCAAGAAAGAGTTATAAGTCTGAACCTTGGAGGATTCAAACTGGCCGGTGCAATCTCACCTTCCATTGGTAATCTCTCCTTTCTCAGATTACTTAATCTTTCAGACAACTCTTTTGGAAGTTCCATCCCTCAAGAGGTTGGAATGCTATTTAGGCTTCAGTACTTGAACATGAGCTTTAATCTTCTCCAAGGAAGGATTCCGCCTAGTCATTCTAGCTGCTCTAGACTGTCGTCCCTTGATTTATCTTCAAACCAACTTGATCATGGCGTTCCTTCAGAACTAGGTTCACTTTCCAAGCTTGCCATTCTAGATATTAGTAAAAACAACCTTACGGGAAATTTTCCTGCATCTTTAGGAAACTTGACATCACTCCAGAAGCTTGACTTTGCATATAACCATATGGAAGGAGAGATTCCAGACGAAGTAGCTAGATTGACTCAAATGGTGTATTTCCAAATATCACTGAATAGTTTTTCAGGTGGTTTTCCTCCTGCATTGTACAACATCTCCACGATTGAGTTTCTATCTCTAGCTGGCAATTTCTTTTCGGGTAACCTTAGGGCTGATTTTGGTGGTCTTCTACCAAATCTAAGAAGGCTTTTTTTGGGAGCAAATCAGTTCACTGGAGCTATTCCTATAACACTTACCAATATCTCAAGCCTTGAAAAGTTTGATATCTCATCTAATTACCTGACAGGAAGTATCCCTTTGAGCTTTGGAAAATTACGTAATCTGCAGTGGTTAGGGATTCGTAACAACTCACTGGGATATAACATGTTCAGTGATCTTGTATTTATTGGTTCTTTGGCGAACTGCACTGAACTAGAGTACTTAGATATTGGTTACAATAGACTTGGAGGTGACCTGCCAGCCTCCATATCCAATCTGTCCACTAAATTGACTAGACTGTACCTTGGAGGAAATCTTATCTCTCGAACCATTCCTCACGACATCGGGAATCTTGAAAGCCTGCAAGAACTCAGTTTGGAAACAAATTTTTTGACAGGAAGACTTCCAGTCTCTTTCGGGAAGCTTTTGAAATTGCAGGTAGTGGATCTGTATTCAAATGCAATATCCGGGGAAATACCATCTTATTTTGGCAACATGACTCAGTTGCAAAAGCTCCATTTGAATAACAATAGTTTCCACGGAAAGATCCCTCAGAATCTTGGACGTTGTCAATACTTGCTAGACCTATGGATTGATACAAATAGGTTGAGTGGGACTATACCTCAGGAAATACTGCAAATTCCATCCCTCGGTTACATAGATTTGTCAGACAATTTGTTGACCGGCCCTTTTCCGGAAGAGGTTGGAAAATTAGAACTTCTTGTTGGACTAGGTGCTTCGAACAACAGATTATCAGGACAGGTCCCACAAGCTATAGGGGGTTGTCTCTCAATGGAATTTCTCTATATGCAAGGAAATTCGTTTGAGGGAGCCATTCCAGATATAAGACGGTTGGTAAGCCTAACCAAAGTTGACCTCTCTAACAACAATCTCTCTGGCCCCATACCTCGATATCTGGCCAACCTTCCTTTGCTGCAAAACCTGAATCTTTCTATGAACAAGTTCGAAGGAAGGGTGCCAACGATAGGAGTGTTTCGAAATGCTTCAACAGTTTCTGTATTTGGAAATGAAAATCTATGCGGAGGCGTCAGAGAAATGAAACTAAAGCCATGCACTGT